GCCGCGTCGCGGCGCAGTCGTCACGCCGTCGTCCGGCCGGTCAACTGTTCGTCGCGTCGTCGTCGTCGTCGTCGTCGTCCCGATCGAGACGCCCGGCCCCGTACGAAACCCGTCGTCCGGTACCCGCGGCACCACTCGACGCACCACTTCCGCGCGATGAACGGTGTCGTCCGCGCGCTCTTGGCGTGCGCGTTCTCGGCGTCCACGGTGCTTCTTCCGGCTTCCGGTCGCCAAGCGGCCGCCGCGGACGACAACCGCGCGGACAACGCGGTCGACCCGGCCGGCACCTTGAGACTGGTGCACGCGGTACGTGTCCCGAGGACGCGCGGCAGCACGTCCCGTCACCGGGCGGCCCGCTTGTTCTCGAAACGTTCACTGAAAACCATTGTTTCTCCGCAGGTGTTCAGGCACGGGGAACGGACGCCGGCCGACGCTTACCCCGCGGACCCCAACGCCAACTCGTCGTGGCAACCGTTCGGTTGGGGCCAGCTCACCAATGCAAGTACACGGTTAGGCCGAACCACGCGCTCACCCCTCTACCTCGCGCGCCCCGGGACGCGTGGACTCGACCCTTTTTTTTTTTTTTTTTTTTAAAAAAACATTTCAAGGGCCGAAAGTCGTGACGAACGGAACGGAAATTAAAAAAAAAAAAAAAAAAATCAAAAATTAATTTATACATCCCGTATATTGTTGTACAACGTTTGTAAATGTATTATAAAAAAATCAAAAATTTATTTTAAATCGGCGTGGATCTTGATATTGAGATATAGTTTTTTCACAGTTTTGGATGTATCCGGTTTGTAGTTGCTGCATGCTACTCTTAACAAGTGGTCAGTAAACCGATTTCTGTACGCATTCTTTGCATATTTCATTTTTGAACTTCCGACACACTTTGATTGTTTTGTAATATCTATTTTTATATTTATCATGTACGTTTTGAGATTCATATTTTACCGTCAATTCAATGAGTTCTGTTCGTGGCGAACGGCGCGTTACGATGCCGGACCGTTGGCGCAGCGCGCGCATGGTTTATAGATAATATTGTTGATAAATAATAACGTTAAATGATAATATTATAATATCTTCTTCTTTTTCGTTGTTCGATTTCGAACTTCGCGGTGACTTTCATGCAACTCATATCGTTTCTGTTGGATACGTTCTCCAGAATTCTCGGTTCCCCGTGTTCCGGATGCTTTCCGACATTGTCATTTGCGTGAGGGTCTTAATTTTGTCTATACAGCGGATGGGGGGCCCCTGCCTATGCTTTTCTTTCCTTCGACTTTTCCTTGGATAATATCCAATAATAATAATAATTAGTATTGACTATAATATATAATAATATTAAATGATAATATTATCTATAAACCTTGGCAGCGCGCGTTCGTAGCGATTGAAAATTACTCCGCGCCCTCGCGTGCAACGTTTACGTAACGGGTTCGGCACGCTCGCGTCTAGCCGTCTTTATAACGCTTATGCGCGACAATCGATAGCGTTCGGTTATTTGTTTTATTTTTTTGTTGTCATGCTAACGCGATGACCGTGGTAGATAATTACGTAAACATGCCCACGCCGCAAACCGATGATGGAATATGAACAACATGCACGCAATAACGAAAAATCATTGAAAACAATACGCGCCGCAACAGTGGCTCGTATACATAATTTTTTAAACGGATCATTTGCAAACGAATCGTTATTTTTAAATACATTTTTACGTTTGTAACGCCGTCACGCTAAGAATATTATTTTATAACATTTAAAAAAATGCCTAGGGGGAATCTGAATCCCCCTTGTACACGCCACTGCACCGGAACGTTCTTTAAAATATTTTATCGTAGTTGTTCTTAAATCGTTACGTAAATAAAAATCCAAACGAAGTATTCAAATCATGTTTATTTCACATCTGGTTCACCTTGGACTTATTTTTAGACGTTTGAAATGGTAATTTAAAAACGCAGTTTTCCGTGCATATCTAAACGAATGCGAAATATTCAGTCGCGCTATTGTTTATGTTTCTGAACCTTACACGTACATACGTGAATCAAACGGATAATGTTAAAACCAAAATTATTTAATTAGTTGTACATCGGGCGTGTTCGAATAATAGTGTATCGTTAGTCGATCTTGGTGAATTTTAATCTTTTTTGTGTAACAGGTTGGTAAGCGAAATCAATATGAGTTGGGGAAGTTCATCAGAAAGCGTTATTCCGGATTTCTGGACGTCTTGTACTCGCCGAACAAGGTCACCTTCAGAACCACGGACGTGGACAGGACCAAAATGAGTGCGCAACTGGTTGCCGCTGCCATTTATAAGCCAGTCGGAGCGCAACAGTGGAATAGGCATTTGGATTGGCAACCTGTGCCGATACATTATGAGCCGTTGGACGACGACCGAGTAATAGGCTAAAACGTTAAACGCGCTCAAATCGATTTTAACACTACCGACGTAAATAGATAAAAAACATGTGTTGTTGCAGTTGTTGTTAGTGCGAATAAATTGTCCCAGGTATTACGAAGAACGGCAAAGAGTAATGAATTCCACCGAAATTCTCGAACAGCTCAATGGTTACAGTGATCTGTACAACTATTTGTCCGTCCACACAGGGTTGACCGTCCAAGACCCCGACGACGTCCAATCGATATACAGTACTTTAAAAGCTGAGGTACTTGACGAATAGATGTTTGTTTTTTCTTGATAATTAGTCATTCGTAACGTGTTAATAAAATACATTATTACAACATAATTATATAGTATTAGTAACCAATAAATATACTATTTAATTTGTTATATATATTTTTATTATTGCAAGTCCGACTATGGCGTTGTACTTCCTAGTTGGACGTCTAAAGTGTATCCGACGCAAATGGCTGAAGTCACTGCCGCGAGTTTCGTGCTAAACGCGTATACCGAGGAAATGAAGAAGCTCAAAGGAGGCCCGTTACTGAAAAAAATATTGGCCGACAGCAAGGACAAAATGACCAAGCAGTCCACGCATCAGTTGTACGCGTACGCGGGTCACGATTCGACTCTGGCGAATGTTTTATCCGCGCTGGGAGTGTGGGATCCGCAGATCCCCACGTACAACATGTTAGCGTTGCTGGAGTTGCACGAATCGAACGAAGGGTTGTACTACTTTAAGGTGAATTCACAATCAGACAAAACGGGTTCCCTCCCCCGTTTACGATGCTTCGTTTTCATATGTTAATATATATATATTGTTTCTTATTGTTGTGTTTGAAATAAATGCATGTCCAGGTGTTTCTGCGCAACGGATCATCAACCGAACCTTACCGCTTACAGATACCTAAGTGCAAAGAAAACACATGTACTCTTGAACACATATCGAAATTGACTGCAAACGTTATACCATTGGATCTGAGCGAAGAATGTAAGACTGATAATCCAACATTTTCCGGTTTAAAAGTAAATACTCGAGGACCATAACCTATCATAACCTATATTTATAATGAGTATCAAACGATTGAGTTATTCTAATGTCGTTTTACTATCAAATGTACTTAATTGGGATTATATTAATTTTAAATTTATAACTATGTGATAAATTTAATTCTGTTTGTACTGCATTCTACTATTTTATATGACTAAATAAAAATAATCTCAGTGCTATTAAATAAAGCCATAAAAATAAAAGATAATAACGTTTTATTAGTGTTGTTCAATCTTAATTAAGGCATAACATATGAATACAATTGTGTAGGTAACTGCGTGTATACTATCCATTTATGTCTCTATTTTTGTGCGTATTACGTTTAATTAAAAAAAAAAAAAAACTATAACAAAACTATCAGTAAAATTAGTACTCCAAAGTCTAAAAATAATATTATTTCTTTTTATCGTAAATTACAATTTATTGCGTATAATGATGCTATTGAATCTGGTAAAATCATTATATGTTTAATTACAGTTTTTCGAATAAAATTTAGAGAACAACCAAATACGAGTACATAATATATATAAATAACAAGTATCAAAAAATACAATTTTTTTTTTCAAATATATACAATACTTGATGATTAGATACAATTTAATACCGGTAACTGGTTATGCAACTGTTACCAAACATTAATTTAAGTTTCATGGGTTTTGAAATCTTCTCACCGACGGTGAGTCACCGTACAACACATTTGTCATTCATAAAAATAAACAGATATTTTGTACTCGCGATAATACCAGTGTTTATATTGTTGGTTCTCGTTTTATATTTATTAGTTTAACTTTGATATCGTTTATCTAGAACAATATAACTTGTTTCTCATTTATTTATATTTATTATCAATTTATATTTTGAAAAAGAATCGTTTTATTAGACAAATGTCATTGTAATAATTACGACAAATGTAACGCTTAACTTTTTCAAATAGATCGCTAGTGTACGAGTAGAAACTGAAAATGTACAAAATACCATCTATCGGAAAATATGTATCTCGCACATCTAATAGTATTAAACTGCATTTTTCAACAACATCCCGCCATTAGGTAGATTTAACGAACTTATGGGCTTCACCTACATGCAATATAACTTTACAATCCAACATATCTATACTATGTAAATGTTTTACAGTCTTGTTCTTTAGCATTGAATTTAGTTAAACTCCATCAACGAATTTTCCCCATTAATCTTGAAAATATACGATAAATATTTCTCTTATCGTAATGTCAATAATATCTAGCTTTCGCCTACTCTATTTTAATTACATACCTCCAATATCCAAGGTACCTATGTTATGATATTAACGATACAATAATAATTTTTTTCTGTATAAACAAATAAACAAATGGTTTATAATATACATATATAAATAAATAAATAAACAAATAAATTCTTATCATGGACAATTATTATATTTGTATAGTAAGATGTGTTTGGAATTGAAAATTTATCATCTGGTACCTATATACAAAGTTAAAAAAATCGCAATTCAATATATATATATATAAATAAATTAATTTATTTATATATTAATTTACAAGTAATAAGCATTTAGTAATATTTAATTTTTATTTAATTTTTTATTATTTTATAATCAATTTCTGTTCATTAACATATTTAATGTAATAAGAAATCATAAAACCATTTAAAAGCATAAAATATATTTACAAAATATAAAAATGTTAATAATTTTCAATATTGTGTAACGTGCATTTATTTTGAGCATTGTTAACTCAAACAAAAATAATTTACTTAATTAAATTATTTATACATTTAATTTATATATCATACATGTCTTAAAATACACATAAAACATTTAAATTTTTTTTTTTTTTATTACCATCAGATATACTGTAGGTAATTTTAAAATCATATTATTTGTAACCGAAGTAATAAATATAATAAAAAATATAAATAAACATAATAAATATCACCGAATGATACATTTAACTAAGTTTACTTACATCAGTCAAATCGAAATGCACATAATGTGTTTATTCGAAATAATAATAAACAAAAACATTTTTATAATAAATTACAAATTATTGAGACCAATTACCTCAATTACAAATTAGAATATTTATATTTAAGTGGTAATATATAATAAATATATATAATAATATATTTTAATTTTAACCTTTTATTGGTACCTTGATACGTTCTTAATACTTATATATGAAATGTATAAAAGGAACGCAACTTAATAATGCAAACTTGACTAGAGCCGCCTAGCAAATAAGTCGTTGAAATGAACAAAACTATCCGGTAAAACTTCATGTTTCAACAAGCTTCTCTGATGGTGCTGAAATTGCGATATTTTACAATAACTGTAAATTAATTATGTCAGATAAGTGTTTTTGAGCGTGTCTTCTGCTCCACCATATGTTTCTACGCACGTTTTTTGATGGCTGTAAATTTGTATTCGGACGGAGAAAATAGTAATCATAACAATAATTATATTCTACTTGAAAAACTCAGATATTTCTTGTAACGACTTGTTCTCAGTTTCCGGTAGATAAAAGTAGAAGTATACCGAGCCAAATAAGCCGGCCACTCCGAATATCGTAAATGTGTTGTAAAGTTGCACGAAGGCGGAAAACTGTGGAAAAAACTTGATCATAAAGAACGACATCAGGTAACCCAAAGCTACACAAGTACTACAGGTAATGTTTCTGCTTCTGGAAATTATTAGAAAACAAAATATGTATGTATATAATATAAAATAATGTATTTTTTTTGCATTGCATGACCGAAATATGTAAAGAACTATTTTTTTCACTCACTTCATAGGGAAGATTTCGGACACAAGTATCCACGCAACTGTCAATATTCCGAATGACGAAGTGAAAGTCGTCGTGAGAAAAAATATTAACACCAACCAAGAGGTTAAAGGCTTCGAATCCGTCCAGTAAATGCCGATTATTCCGATCAAGATGTAGCAAACCGAGCAAATGGGCAACGTCATGAGCGTGAGAAATCGTTTGCCGAGTTTGTTCACGAAAAAAACCGTTAGTATTCCACCGATAATGGCCAAAGCCACCGAAAACGACTGTATGTAGAAAAGCAAAAAAAAAAAAAAAATTGATAGTAAAAAAAAAACGCCAGAAGAACAATTGATCGGTTTACGATGAATTGCTTACGATTGTCATTTCGACGTTGACGGGCGCACCAAATTCGGTAAACACTGACACTAAATACGGCCCGTACTGTACGCCGGCTAGTAAATTCGCGAAGAAAATGTATATCACCAACAAACGGAAAGGCCTGTATACTTCGGGCTGGAGTAGTTGTCTCCACGAACTTGTGATGTCTTCCTCGTTTTTAGTATCTGAAAACCGACACCATAAAATAATTTTTTACTAACGAATACATTAATAATAAATTGTTTATTATCATTTATTAATATTATCCTTATTATAATTACAATGGTTCTTATTTCGCAACATTGTAGTAAAGCTGTTGCATATAAAGGTTTCAACTAAACTACGTGGATGCACAAAGAAAAGGAAATGTTAAAGAAGGAAGTCACCACGAAGGGTGTACACGACGATTCAAAATATTTAAATGGTTCCGCCGAATTAGGGCCTATGTCGGATTTTGTCAAAAAAAATTTTTTTATAGAATAATGTCCTATATCATATGTAGAATACGTTTCTATTGTTTTTAGTATTAAAGAAGCCACTAGAAGCCACGAGAATCGCCTATATATACAGAAATGACAGAATTTTCAGTAGTAAAAGGGTCTATGTCGTATAGAAACGGCGTCCTTTTTTTGTTATCATTCGTACCTAATCATTTAATTATATTATAATCAAAATATGTTATATCATATAATATCTGCAATTATTTATTTTCTTATTCAATAAAAAAACATGATACACCTACATGTGCAACAGGTTTTTATTTTCAAATTTTACAGTGGAAGAAGGGCCCATATCATTCCAAAAGACATTGTTATTAATAATAATAAGTTAAACATTGTTTTTCGGCGCTTCTGAAAAGTTGAATCAGACATAGACCCTAATTCGGCGGAACCATTCATTTAAGATATGACAGAAATCGAAGAGCAGGAAGAGGATGTAAATGGCTCTGCGGTGGAGCCAAAGAAGTAATGTAGTACGAGGACAGGAAATCGCTGTTGATCGAAATAACACGTGTATATTATTTACCCGGTTTTTCGGTGTCCTTCACGGACGTGTAAACGATCATTTCTCTGAACTCGTTCGAGCACAGCTCGTGAGACACCCAACCCCTTAACTTGCCGAGCGTTTTTTGAGCTTTTTCGTGTTTTCCTTTGGTCAACAGCCACATGGGAGAGTGCGGGGACTGGAAAAAATGTACTCATCATTATAACGTGTGCGCAAATGCGGTCGTTAGCCCGCTTACCACTAAGAGGATCACGATGTTTACAATCGGTATGATCATGCTGAGCAGTACGGTTAATCTCCAGTCCAACGTGACGGCGTAGATCAGAGTGAACACCAACGAGCCGACGAAGTAGAAAACGTTCGTGACCGACATTAACGCGCCCCTTAGCTTGGGCTCGCACACCTCACCGATGTAGGCCGAGCACGGGCCACCTGCGTAGCCGATGCTCAGTCCCATAAGGATAGAGCACATGTACAGGGTGTCGACGTTCTCCGCGAAGAAAAACATGATTTGTGATACGATATACGGTATGTTGGTGATGATCATACACTTGTTGTGACCGAAACGGTCCAGTGTCAGCGACGAGAGCAGGCTGCCGACCGGGGTGAACAAGAACAAAAGGCTGCCTGCGAAACGGTCGTAAGTTCGACCACGGGTTAAGTTAGGTATATAAGGGTTATGTTATTATGCATAACACGTGAGATGAACGAGAGCGTTTCGTCCCTAATGAATAGTCCTAGAAATGTTATTCATTCTAATGTTTAGTGTTCATTAATCGTTATACTATACTATAAATTTGTGTTAAAACCTAGGAGTTTTTAATTTTCTTTTCAAAATTTACAGTTTTATATTAATTACGTGAATTAGGTTACGCTATAACTGGAAAATTAAACGTGACTTATTTTTATTATAAATTTTATTTTATCTTTATTTTTAATTTGAAAACTCTGATGCCCCTTAACGAAATCTAGTTTATAATAGTGATTTTATATAATAATATAATAAAATAATATATGTATATATATATATATATATGTATTATACAACATATAATTACAGAGTTAACTCACATAACTAATTTTTTATGAAAATTGAATATGAATACTTGTGTTTAGTCATGACAAATATTGAAACGGATGTAAAATAAATTAAAAACTTCAAATCAAACGTTGAATTTTTCATTAAATTGTGTTTTATAAAATCAGCAATTACATTTTTTATATACAACATATTTCAATACAATTTTCTATATCGCAAATAATACGAATTAATTCTAGATTAATAATTCTATTTAATTTATTGTATTAATAATAACTCTAGGCCTATTCTAAATTGTCAGGTGGGAAATTTTTATAGTCATGTCAAATACGTAAGTTTTTGAGAAAATACTTACCGAACCAAGACGCCTGATCGCTCGTTACGGTCAAAAATTCATTTTGATTTTTATTGGTCGACAGGGCACCGATAATTATAGTCAAACATATAATTTCTATACCGATTCCGGTTTGCAAGAGACATGATCCGGTTAAGGCTAAGCACTGCAACAAATAATAGATCCGTGTTCACTTATGACAGTTTTTCTAATATTTATGCTAAGGCCTATAAATGTATTTTGAGTTAGGTTGATGACCCTCCAAAAAATAAAATACTCGTAAGTGCTTTAATATAAGAAAATGTATGATATATTTTAAGGAAATACTGTAAAACTGAATTCTGATATGTATACGAGTATTATAGTATGATAACTAAGATATTTTATTTGTCATTAGTTTAAGAACAGCGACCCATAAAAAATATATTGTGACCCATTGTTGGGTCACAATCCATTGGTTGGGAAACGTTGTTATATGGAATACGTATTCGATTTAATTGTTTTGCTTAAATTTATATTTCCATACAGAATATCATTATCATACTGTATTCGATAAAATAAATAGATGACAGAAACGCGTTTGCCTTTTATTCGTTGCTAACGTTGTGGACATTGCGACTAACATACAACAGCAGCAGTCTTAGAGTCCATTTTTACGGCCCCACTAAATTGAAAATTTCAAATTCTGAATTGGCAGATCGTTTGTGCACAATTATTTCCGTAGATATTTCAAAATAAAATTCAAGGGACCATAGAAACGGTAGCCCCCAAATTTGGAATTTTTAAACTCTAATTGGGTAAATCATATGTGCACCGTTTGTGCACGAAAAATAATAATATTAAATAAAAATAAAAAAGAAATATTTTAGTATTACAATGATTGAAGTTTGAACATAACATAAGAAATGTATAAAATCATTAATAACAAAAATATAATCATAATAAATATAAGTAGTAGTGAACAAATCATCTAGAATATGGTATACAAAAATAATTTAAAATAATGACATATTAAAATTATAGTTATCAAAATTCATATTATTACTACATATCTGAAAATATATAGTATGTAAAAAAAATTATAATTTTTATTTAAATATCAATAAATATTTATGTAAAAGGGAAATTATATAAATATTCATATATTGAAATTGGTACAACATTTTTATTATTTAATGCAATAATATATAATAAATGCTAAAAGATTATATCATATTAAAAATATATGATGACCAATTGTAGGTACAGTAGGGTCTTGATAATCCGAAAGAAATCGGGGAAAGTGATCGTTTGGATTATCTATGGCTTAATGAAATCATCAATTTTATTGTAATTTAAATTATGAAATTTTTTTTTTTCATTTGTATTAATGACGTAAAAACTCGTAATTTATAAAGACAATGTATACAAAAAATTATTATAATTATATATGTGTGTATGTACAGATTAATATAATATACAGATAATATTTATTACATAATAATATTATGAACCTTATTATTTAAAATATATATTTACTATTATTATGATACACATACATACATATTAATATAACGATGCGATATTTCTCAAGCTCGTTCGGGTTAGTCTGTGTTCGGATTATCGAGACTCTACTATATTAAGTTAAATAATTTTGAACATATTTTATTTACGATTCGAGTTATAGAGGCATTTAATTTCAAATTTTAACAACTTTTTCAATTTATCTGTTGCGTTCTTTTCCGATCCAAAAACAGGGGTGTATGGTTTCTTCTCTACCTTTTCATGAAATCGCGAACGACATTTTTCTATGATTTTAATACTCTCATAATTTTTTAATAATTTTATGAGCATACTGTCAACAGTTTGTTCATCTAATAAGAATGTAATATTATTTACCATTATTTCTCCTGGATAAAACTGTTTTAAAATGTAGGCTCGTTTTTTTATTGGTTTCAATTGTTACACCGTCTCAGAGTAACGTATAAACTAGATGTCATAGTGTACCTACTTTCATATTTTCCCTTTGCTACAAATTATGCAAATTTATTACTATAACAATACGCAACTGCTAAAATTAATAATATTAGAAAATAATTTCTTCTAACTTGATGAGCTATGTAATATTAAAGTGCCACGTAATAAAAAAACAAAATAATTGGAGTAGCCTACCATCAACATCACCTTTAAAATATTATAAAACATCTATGATTTTCATAATAGTAATATTCATACCATATTTTTGATCATACTTGTATTTTTTATTCACTCGCCTGACTGGCCATTTCGTAAATCACAAAGAAACTTATATTAAGGGGGTCGGTGCTGGTCATTTATTAAGGAGTAAAATTTAGGCAATTAAATTCACATGTTGTATCGGCGGCGCGCCAGCCGTGCATGAATGTGAGTGTGTAAATCGATATAAGTGTGCGTGAGCTATAATAAGATAAAATTAGATAATTACACTCGCTGCGCGTTATCGGATGTATATCTATTTGTATATTATACATCTTATTAGTCCATGCGTTATCGTTTCCATAGAATTACTGTTATGAATTGTGTTTATTATTATTATTATTATTATCAACTGGAGATCACAATAATTGACGAAGTCTCTTGCTTTCTACGATCGACTCTTATTCACAATTAAATATTACGTACTATATGACGAATTGTGTGTGTTTTTTTTATTTTGTCGCAAATAATACAAGATATGGAAAACAAAAAAAAAATATATTCAAATAAAAAAAAAAAATGTAACAACTTATCGGAAGAAAAAAGGATGGAAACATATGAGATAAGTAATACATGTATAATAAATAGGTCACGGATACTAATATAGTAATATACTATACAGTGGTTAGAGAATTATATTGTATACAAATTAATACATTAATTATACGCAATAATGTTCATGAAATATTAATTATTTCTATTATTTACCTATGTTTAGTTTTGGTTTAAAAAATAAAACAGAAAATGTTTCTAAAACACAATGTAGTTCTAAAATATTAGATACACCATCAACGAGGTGCCATTCTACAAACAAAAACGTGTCTTATGGTCTTAACCAATTGTAAGTTATATATATATATATACGGTATATCCACTTGCTTGCAATTTTTCCAGCAGTTTTTTTTTGTTTTTAGATTTAATGTTGAGGGTCGTCATATAGTTGATATGGGTTATGTGTTATGTGGAAACACAAATGGTCGAATTTTATAATTGTCATTTACTAAAAGAAATTGTAAATCCTACAATTTTAAAATAAATGGCATTTTTTTAAACTATTATTATTGTAATTATTAGTCGTGAATTATTATTATGTACTAGTTTATATTTTATTTAGATACATTTTTACGATAATAATATAATAATATATACAATTATATAAAGGACGGCTGTTATAATTTGTAATTGATAAACGGGTACTATTATTTTTTTTTATTATAATAAAATAAAGTGTATATAATTAAATTATAAGAATTTTTTTTATGTATTAATTACTTCAGGTAAAACAAAATAATATAAGGAAAAACAATTGAATAAAAGAAATTGGTTAAAAACTGAAACCTCCACTCCAATTTGTATACTCGATGTAAACGTTTAAACTCAGTTTTTTTTAATTACAATTCGAACCAACAACGTCTACTGGTTTTCCAATTTCAAATTTTGATCAGAATAAAAATCGTACCTATTACAGGTATTACGGAAACCAATTATTAATGTCGTTATAACATGCATTTAATAGAATCAGGGCTGGTCAAGATACCTAAAAAAAAGTATCTAAATACAATATACAAGGTACTTCGATATTTTTAAAGATACAAGATACAAGATACAGGTAGCTGAGATACATATAAGATACAAGATACTTTATAGATTTATTAATATTTATTTATTTATTTGTTTATTCATTTACATTAGGTACAATAAAAAAAGAATATAAATATGTTTATAAATTACAATGTTTATTTATTAACTCTTAAATGTTGAAATGTTTAAAAAAGAGTGATATATAGTATTATAGTAAAGGTTTTTTATATGTTATATCCCATGTTTTAAAGTAAATTCCTGGTTACCTTTTAAAGAGAATAATTTCAATTAATGATAATAAATAATTATATATACATATATATATAATTAATAAATAATAAAATTAATAATAAATATTAATAATTATTAATAATAAATAATTTCAATTTCCAATTCACATTTATTATTTCATCAAAATTTAATATTATATAGAATGTTCTATCTAAGGATTTTGGAATATTAACAGTTACATTATTATCCATGGTTTTAGTAATAGATACTTAAAATCGGACGATACTACACAAATACCGCGTAGACAGAAAATATGAACCGATCATCGCACAATCACACAGTATAAAATAAATGTTTAGCGCAATAAAATTAAGAAAACATTCTGCTGATAAACTGGATTTATGTAACTTACTGATTACAAAATTTGCTCATAATTTATTTATTTATTATAGAATTTAACGCCGAACGGCTTTTTACATAGGTATGGTAGGTACAATAAAATAACATTGAGTTTGTAAAATAACAGAAATAAAATAGTAGAAAATAAACTTAAGATTAAACAATGGTAAGTAGAATTACAGTTGATTAGCCAATCTAAGCATCCTGTGCATTGGGTGATTGTGGCTGAAAGAAGAAAATTGAGTTGGGATGTAGAAAGGAGTTTGGTTACGAACATTGTGAGAAGGGACTTTAAATTGGATTTTCGATAGTAAGTCAGGTGAGTCGATAGAGTTTTCTAGAAGAGCATAGATGAACTGTAAATCAATATTATTTCTACGTGAGGATAAAGAGGGTATATTTAGAAGAAAGCTAATATCAGAATAGTTATGATTAGGAGATAGTAATTTAAGAATAAAAGCAGCGTAGGAAAGAAATTTATGCTGAACTCGCTCAATACGTAACTGATTCTTAGAAAGATATGGATGCCAAACAATAATCCCATATTCTAAAATGAATCTAACAAGAGCAAAATATAAAGAACGGAGACAAGTTGGTGACGAAAAGTTTAGTATTACGTTTAATAAAACCTAAAACCTTATTAGCACGACCCATAATAATGTCAATGTGATGGCTAAAAGAGAAAGTGGAAGTATAAAAAATACCTAGATCTTTTATAATAGATGCACGTTGTAGAGCAATGTTGTTAAGCAAGTAAGGGTAAAGAATAGGATTACGTGATATAGAGAAGAATACGACACTACACTTATTAATATTGAGGGAGAGGCCTAGGGTATCTACCCAGTGATTAAATTGAATAAGTTCATTTGATAAAGTTAGACAGTCAGAATAGGTTTCAATTTTAAGGAAAATTTTTATGTCATCAGCATAGAGAAGGAAATGAGCCTTGTTTAGGAAACTGGAAATTGAGTTAACATAAAGGCAAAACATTAGAGGACTCAGGTGACTACCCTGTGGAACACCAGAAGTAACATCTGATAGGTTGGATGAAACCCCATTTAATTTAACGAATTGTTTACGGTTGAGCAGATATGAACTGAGCAAAGAAAGAAGAGGATCGCCAATACCAATACGGTCAAGCTCTTTAATAAGCAAGTTATGAGGAACGGTTTCGAATGCTTTATATAAATCGGTAAAGATGACGGCAACTTGAGCGCCATTGCTAAGACAGTCATAAATAAAAGAAGGGAAAGAAACGCTATAAGAAACAGAACTTCTTCCAGTTCGGAACTGTATTGTTGAGGAATAAGAATATGATTTAATTTAGGCCTTAAATAGTTATATAAGAGAGATTCGAATATTTTAGTGATGTGTGGTGATATGGAGATTGGATGATAGTTGGTAACAAGAGATGAATCAGAGGACTTAAGGACAGGAGTGATAGAGCATATTTTTCACACTGAAGGGAAAACACTTTCGTCCAAACACTTCCTAAACAAGAGATATAGTGGGAAAAATAAAGTTAAACGATAATGGAAAAGCAAGGAGGCCGAGATACCATCAGGGCCAAGAGAAGAAACCCTTTTCAACTTATCGAGAGCGGAAAGGGCGTCATCAAGAGAAAAGTAGCAGTTAGATGGAAGTGAATGAGGGTGTTCAAATGGGAGGTCAGGAGAACAGGGTGGGATTACTGACTTGTAGACAGATGAGAAGTATTGAGAAAAAAGGGAAGCCGATTCCAAATCAGAAGAAGCAGTGAGCGAGCCATATTGAATATTCGAAGGAATGCTTGAGCGCCTGTTAAGATCACGGAAATATTTCCAAAAATCACGAGGTGATTGAGATAAATGGGTTTGAGTAGAATTAATATAAGCATGGTAGTTAAGTTTAGAAAGACGCTTGCGCTTAGCTCTTAATTTAGAGAATTTGCAGAATGAAAGGAAGTTTTTTTTAAATAAACAATGAGCCATTTTTTTTTTATAAATTAGATTTTTTAACTTTTAATATTAATTAAGAAAATTATTCTTTAATTTTTTTTCTGGTGGGAGGTATTTAAAATTTTAAATTAATTTAAAAAATGTAACTTGTAGAAGATTTATTAATTCGTTTGTAAGTATAAAGTTCAATTCAAGTTGATTGGGACTGTATGATTCGGTAATTGACAAAATGCGTGTTGTAATTCAAGCATAAATAATTTGTAAAATATTGAAGAAATTTCTGGGAGTCTGGACCCCATGGACTACCTCCTCAGATACGGCCTTGACTTAGATAGGAGGAGGGATGCTAAGTTGGGCAGTGTAATCATGTATAAAAATTACGAATAAATCAGTAAAAACAATAAAGATTACAATAAAATATACATTCAAATTGTTTCACAAATTGCTATTGTATCGTATTAAGTTATAATTTATAACAGAACTGATTTATATCAGAAATTACTCACTTGAGCCAAAGTAGATCTAAAACTGTTGTTGATTTTTCTATTTGCCTCCATTTTTGAATATAATATGATTCTGAATTATCTGCGTAAAGTTTAATTTACAAATTATATTAAAAAATTTAGATTACGCTCTATAAAACAACACAAATTATTTTAATTTTTAAATATGTATTCCGTAAGATATCAAGTATCCTTGTCTAATTATAAACTTACAATTGCCGACGATAAATTATTATAATATAATACGCAAAACTAAGAATATTCTTAATAATGAAGTAAAAATCTACTCTTTTATACATAAATAAAAAGGGTAAATAGTCTAGGTCGAGTGAGATTCCATAGCCGAGAGGAATATAGGAAGATATTACTGAATTGTTTTTTTTGTTAATTTTAAACCATTGACCATTGTTTTCGAAAAAATGATTCTGAGTGAAACAAATATTTTAAATCATTAGAGCAATACAATTTAGCTACAGGACAAAATAATTTTGAAGTTATTAATTATCAATATAATCAATCGTATCCAAAAAAAGATATTTAATTTATCAAACGTTAAGACTAAACAATTTTTGTATAATAATTACTTTTGATTGTAATATTATGAAACGTATTATATATATATATATATATATATATATATATATTATACTATTAGTATAAATAATGACACGGAAAAGAATAGTAAATAAAAACTTACCGAATAACAAGCTAAACTTCAGACGTTAGGTGCATGTGAATATCACTATATGACTATTATATATTACTAATTTACACTAATTTAGTTATGTGAAGATGTTATTCTCAATATTTTATTAAGTGGTTTATGTTGACAAATTTTATCACCATGTATTTATTTCAAATACATAACATTGATAAATCAGATAATTAACGTAATCAATTATAATTATTTATTGGAGTATCAAGTTCTTATTAAATTCCTTTTGTATTTTTAAATTGTATGAATAGGTAAACTGTATAAATAGGTAATATAAGTGCTTAAGAAAAATTATGTAATCTAATGAAATTATGACGAAAAAATAAAACTTTAACAGGAAACTTTAGCATGAAAACTAATTTTATAAACTCACTGATTATTAATAATGAAAATTCATGTACATTAGGGTGTTCCTTAAATTTTTTTTTTGCATTTTTGTTGGTCTCACCCACTTAATTTATGTATATGCCTACAAAAATGAATTACAAAAAGTTTTAAGTCAATCTATTAAGGTTAACCCGTGCCGACTTGAATTTGAAATCTGAGTATATTAATTCATTAATAATTTAATGATATATTTTACATTTTCATATATAACTCATTTAAAATCAGGAAAATTAAAATTTGTTACATAATATATTTTAAATATAATAAAATTGTCTATAAATTATATTCTTACATACTTCTTCTTATTTATTATAATTTACAAGATATATTGAATTTTGTGTATGAAAGTACTATTTTCTCAAAATTATATTATGAATTTTTATTAATTAAAATTGTTTTTTTCAATGTTTCCTTTTTACAATCAGGATATAGTCTTCTGTGTTCTTGTATACATTGTAATAGCAACTCAGACTTCTTATCGTCTTTGGTTTAAGATCCGTGAAAATCTTCCATAAGTTTAACTGCTCCTTCCGCTGTGTCATTTACTACATTTAGCGAGCATGCAATTTCTTTCCCGTAAATATCACGAATAGCGTTTTTTTCAGAGGATGATAAAGAGTATTAATTCGGAAAATATATATTTTTAAACAGTAAATAGCTCTACTCATCCAGCGAGCTTGATGCATTGCTCCAGGTGGACGTATTTTAAATTTGTTGTCCAAATTACTATTCAAAAATGTTATAGATAGCTCAAGTAATTCTTTATAGTCATTTCTGTAACATTGTTTTTGCAACATAGCTCGACAAAAGTGGAGAATATCATTTCGTACATCTTCTAAAGCAGTGCAACACTCAAGGTCGTCTATACCAGAAGTTATATTTCTAATATCAATTTTATTCCAATTGTTTCGAAACTTTTTGAATAGTGGGATATCAGGACTTGTCGTTGTATAAGGAAGTACAGTTTCAAAAACGCCACGTAAAATTATTTTGTATATGTGGTGGCGACATGGTAGGTAAAGTAAGTCTTTTCCCAATTTTTGCTCCAATAAAACGCATGCACCATTTAAACGCCCTGTATTTTAAGCGGTGGTATCACAGTATAGAGCTTGAACAACATCTGTTACGCCCCAATTTTCTAATGCATAATATATAGCATTAGCTTGTTCTTTTCCCGTTGATTTTTCTAACTGGGATACCAATAAGCAAATCTTGATTCTTACTGATTAAAACAATCGATAGTCTATCAATACCTGAGTCTCTAACATTTAACGTTGGTAGTATTTTTCCATCCCAGTGTACAGTTATATA